TTGATTATTTCTGGCAGACTAGCCATAGTGCTTTATCCAACACATTTGCATACTCTGTTGTTATATGACCGCCCCTATTATCTCTATTGTATATTATAGCTGTTTTTTATCTCATTTATACAGTCTCCTGAAGAAGTCCACTGTGTGGATGAAAGCTCGAGAACAAATTTTATTCTGTTAGTCTTAAAAATGCTGCTCTCATTCATTTTATCTTGTTGTACATAAGACTATAACGCGGCTACTCTTTTTATTCATCATGAATTTACTTGATGTTAGTTAGATTCTTTATAAAAATTGAATTATTTCAGTTCAAAAATGCTAAAAAAAAGCAGTTTTTATACAGAATTTTAATATTGGGGGCCATTTTTACCTACTTGTCATTAGGGGCCATTTTTACCGGGGCCATTTTTTCCGGGGCCATTCTTACCGTACACCCTCAAAACCTTCTCGGTAGAAAAAACAACAATCTGTATTAAAAGCTGTAAATGAAGAATCCACATTAGGTATGTTTTGTTGCTTACCATAACAAAGAACCAATAAGACCATTAGAATAGATGTTTATTTTGGGATGCAGAAATGTAGTCTTTATTTTGAGGAAGATGATATAGCCAGCAATTTAAATTGTGTGTGTGGGTGTGTGTGTGTGTTGATTTGGTTCCTCTTCATAAGGGTTATCCAACTACTATTTAACTTTAAAAAAATTATTGAATACTCTCAGCATTCTCATATGAACTGTAAATACTGTATTAAATCTAAATATTTATTTGATCATAAAGGAAACAATTCAAATAATTGATACGGGATCCACATATATTTTTTTCAATAATGATGTGTACTTCTTTTCTGTTTTGTAGGTTATGTTGAGGAATTATTTGATGCTCTTCCTTTGAGAGTCGGTATGAGATCAAAATGCTTAAGGATGCACTTGACAATGCAAAAGAAAATCATGACGTCATGCCTGAACAAATAACAAATTACTTTATTTGGACTGATAAGGCTACACTGGTTATGGAAAGAAAGTCAAGATTCAAATGAAACAGAAGTTTAATGTAGGTTATGCAGTAATGTTGAAATTAGGAATTCAAGTGCAAGTATCGGAAGGAAATGGCTTCCATATTGTAAGAACTGCACATGCTGGTATTACTCTTCGGTTGTTTCGACCAAGCTTGTGCCAGATCCAACATATGAATCGCCTGTATGCAACATGACGGTACAATCTAATACAGTAATGTTAATGCAGGACCCCAATGGAAATAAACCTGCTATTGGTTTTCTTGGGCTATCCTGGCCAATGTTTGTTAATGTTTCCCTGTTTGTTAACTGTAAACTTTTGGCTGAATAAATAAATGAATGAATGAGAAAAAAATATTTTTTTCAGATAATTGCTAAAGAAATTTACATGAAATGATTAAAGCTTGGAGAAATAGTTAAGTGGTGTTTTCCCCTTTCATCCAAATATTGGTCAATAGTGGCAATTTCTGTAAAGCATGGACACTCTTGTTGCATTACTCACAAAAGCATATAGGTCTAAACAATTTTTACTATATTGTATATATATATGCTTTATATAAATTGAAAAATACTGAAAAACAATAATGCTTTGGGAATAAATGGAA